AAACGAATATGCACAGATAAGAAGGGAGGCCCAAAGACAATACGAAAATGACATAGCAGCGAAAGCCAAATCTGACCCGAAACTGTTGTACAGCCACATCAGAGGAAAACAACAGTCAAGGACCAGGTAATCAGGCTAAGGAAGGAAGGAGGAGAGACAACAAGAAATACCGTGAAGTATGTGAGGAACTCAACAAGAGATTCAAAGAAGTGGTTCACAGAGGAGACAAAAGGGGCTCCAGAAAGACGGAGAGGTGGGGCACACCACCAATTGCTGGACACAGTGCACAAAAACCGAGGAAAAGGGGAAGGGGCTCTGAGGGGAGCTAGATACCTCAAAGGCAAGGGGGCCAGATAACACCCCCCCCATGGGTATTGAAGAGGGAGCAGGGGCACTATGTGTACCCCTAACAACAAAAATTCAATACACCCTATCGAAACGGGGAGATTGCCGAGGCAGGGAAAAACATAAAAGTTCCCAATTTTTAAAAAAAAGGAAAGACATGAAGCACAAAAAACAAACAGACCAGTCCCCCACTGCCCAGGTATAGCATGAAAAAAATCATGGAAAAAAATTGGTCAGGAAAAAGAATGGTGGAACATCTAGAAAGGAATGAGTCCTATACCAGCAGACAACATGGTTTCAGAGACGGGAAATCCTGTTTTCCAAAAACCTACTGGGGGTTTCTTTTACATGGTGACAGCAGTAATAAAAAGAGAGGGGTGGGTGGGTTAAATTTTCTTAGACGGGCAAAAAAGGCGTTTGCACAGTCCCACACAAGAAATTAGTGCAAAAACGGGGGACCAAGCGGGAATAACGGGGAAGGCACTGCAATGGTTCAGGGAAACTTTCAGGAAGACAGCACGAGTAAGGGACGAGGCGAGGTGTCAGAGTGGGCACCTTACCAGTGGGGTCCCACAGGGGTCAGTCCTGGGACCAGTGCTGTTTTCGGGTATTTGGAACGACATAGGGAAAGGGAAAAAAAAACTCTGAGGTGTCCCCTGTTTCCCCAGATACGTAAAGTTGATGGAAGATTCTTTCGATCGAAGACCAGGCAGAAATCCCAAAGGGATCGGGGACGGGGCGCAGACCTGGTCCAGCAACTGGCTCCTGGAGTTAAAATTCCCCCCAAAAGTGAAAAGTCTTGGGGTTTGGGGGAAAGGGGCAAAGAAAACCGCAGAGGGAGTAAAAGTCTGGGGGGTAAAGAGACTACAAACATCACTAAAGGGAAAAAGATTTTGGGGGTAGTTTTAAACACCGGGCACTCTCCTAAGGGCGCCCCATCAACCAAAAAACTCTCCCACCCTATGGGCGCCGGGAAAACCTCAGAAACAGCATTCCAAACATCTTAAAAAAGGAATCGTTCGGGACCCTATACAACCAATAAAGTTAGGCCCATAAATTTGGGGTATGCGGGACCAGTTTGGGAAACCCCCACCCTACCAACAAAGTAAAGAAACTAGAGAAAGTGCAAAGGTTTTTCAACCCAAAACTAGTCCCAGAGCTAAGAGGGATTCCCATGAGGAGAGGTAAAGGGGAAAAAAACCTTTACGACACTGGAAGGGGCAGGAAAAGATAGGGGGGCATGATTTAAAGACTTACAAAATACTGAGAGGAATTGGGCAAGGTGGACAAAAACCGGATGTTTCCCGAGACTGGACACAGTAAAAAAAGGGACCAGTTGGAATTAAGACCCCAGATGAATCAAAGGGATGTTAGGGAAATATTTCTTCAAACCCCCCAGAGTAAATCGGAAGTGGGGGAAAAGTTTTTTGGAACCCATGAGTGGAAATCAGGATCCATACATAAACTTTAAGCAGAGGTAAAGATAAAGCCATGGTTCAGGGAGAGGACCCCAATAGCACCCGTGGGAAAAGGCGGGGGCCCGGAGCTTGGACCGACCCCTCAACCTCAACTAGGGGAAGGACACACACACACCCCACACACATACACACACACCCCACACAAACACACACACACACCACAACACACACACACACAACACACAACACAAAACACACCAGGGACATCTCCTGAAGCGCCCAAAAGCAAAAGTCCGAAGATTGGGGGAAAGGGGAAAAAGACCGCAGACACAATAAAGTTTTAAAAAGGGGCCAAAAACCCCAAACCTCCTCAAAAAAAAATCTGGGGGGGAAATAACACCGAGCAATCCCCCTGAGGCGGGACAAAATCAATAACTTTCCTGCAGCATAAAGGGCGCCTGGGAAACCACGATAAAACGTTCCGATACTCCCGTAAAGGGGTTTGGGTTTTTAAAACTCCCGTTTCCATCACGTCAGGCCCCCTACGGAGTTTGCAGCAAACCCGTTTTTTAATCCAAAACCTAACAAGCACGTCAAAAAATTAAAAGAAAGGCAAAGGTTTGGGAACAAGACTAGTCCCCAGAGCTACGGGAAATTTTCCTATGAAGAAAGGTTGAGGGGAAATCCGGGCCCGACGACACTGGAGGCCAGGAGGGGCCCGGGGGACATGATAACGACTTTTAAAATACTGCGCGGAATAGACGAGGTGGACAAAGACGGGATGTTCCAGAGATGGGACACAGACACTAGAGGTCACAATTGGAAGTTGAAGACTCAGATGAATCAAAGGGATGTTAGGAAGTATTTCTTCAGTCATAGAGTAGTCAGGCCATGGAATAGCCTAGAAAGTGATGTGGTGGAGGCAGGAACCATACATAGTTTTAAGGCGAGGTATGATAGAGCTCATGGGGCAGGGAGAGAGAGGACCTAGTAGCAATCAGCGAAGAGGCGGGGCCAGGAGCTGTGACTCGACCCCTGCAACCACAAATAGGTGAGTGCAAATAGGTGAGTACACACACAGTATAGGGTAGGTGGCCAAAGACTGCAAACCTCACTCAAGGAGAAAGATCTTGGGGTGATATAACACCGAGCATGTCTCCGGAAGCACACATCAACCAGATAACTGCTGCAGCATATGGGCGCCTGGCAAACCTGAGAACAGCATTCCGATACCTTAGTAAGGAATCGTTCAAGACACTGTACACCGTGTATGTCAGGCCCATACTGGAGTATGCAGCACCTGTTTGGAACCCACACTTGATAAAGCATGTCAAGAAACTAGAGAAAGTACAAAGGTTTGCGACAAGGTTAGTTCCAGAGCTAAGGGGAATGTCCTATGAAGAAAGATTAAGGGAAATCGCCTGACGACACTGGAGGACAGGAGGGTCAGGGGAGACATGATAACGACATATAAAATACTGCGTGGAATAGACAAGGGGACAAAGACAGGATGTTCCAGGGAGGGGACACAGAAACAAGAGGCCACAATTGGAAGTTGAAGACACAAATGAGTCAGAGAGATATCAGGAAGTATTTCTTCAGTCATAGAGTTGTAAGGCAGTGGAATAGCCTAGAAAATGACGTAGTGGAGGCAGGAACCATACACAGTTTTAAGACGAGGTTTGATAAAGCTCATGGAGCGGGGAGAGAGAGGGCCCAGTAGCAACCGGTGAAGAGGCGGGGCCAGGAGCTAAGACTCGACCCCTGCAACCACAAATAGGTGAGTACAAATAGGTGAGTACACACACACACACACACACACACCTAACCTAACAACAGCATTCCGACACCTTAATAAGGAATCGTTCAGGACCCTGTACACCGTGTACGTTAGGCCCATATTGGAGTATGCGGCACCGGTACAAGTGGGGTCGGCAAGGAAGAGATGTCTCTACAAACCAACCTGATGACGTGGTGCAAGCCACAGAAACGCGTAGTTGGGTTTAGAGAATCTGCTTCTTTCCTCTGCTAGATTTTCACTTGTTTGTTAAACATGCACAACGACTTTTTCATCCTACCAACCTGAACCTGGGGATGATAAGTTGATGCTAACAGCACAGTTTGTTGAATCATGGACGACAGGACTAAAGGACGAACTGGACCAGCCAAGACCACAGTTCGACCAGACCAAGACGACGACGTTTCGCCAGAAGGAATGGAAAAGAAACCTAACCTAACCTCTGAGAAGAAACAGGCTTAATAATTCTTGAGAAGCAACCATGAGCCTTTTTTCCCTATGTACAAGGGTTGAAGATCTGGCACACAACACAAAAAAACCTAGCCAAGCACGTAAAGAAACTAGAGAAAGTGCAAAGGTTTGCAACAAGACTAGTCCCAGAGCTAAGAGGTATGTCCTACGAGGAGAGGTTAAGGGAAATCGACCTAACGACACTGGAGGATAGGAGAGATAGGGGGGACATGATAACTACATATAAAATACTGAGAGGAATTGACAAGGTGGACAAAGACAGGGTGCTCCAGAGATTGGACACAGTAACAAGGGGACACAGTTGGAAGTTGAAGACACAGATGAATCACAGGGATGTTAGGAAGTATTTCTTCAGCCACAGAGTAGTCAGGAAGTGGAATAGTTTGGGAAACGATGTAGTGGAGGCAGGATCCATACATAGCTTTAAGCAGAGGTATGATAAAGCTCATGGTTCTGGGAGTGTGACCCAGTAGCGACCAGTGAAGAGGCGGGGCCAGGAGCTATGAATCGACCACACCTAGGTGAGTACACACACACACACACACACACACTATAACTTTGTTATATACACACACCATAACTTTATTATACATACACCATAGCTTTGTTATACACACACACCATAACTTTGTTATACACACACCATAACTTTGTTATACACATACACCATAACTTAGTTATGTACACACACCATAACGTCATATTTACTTCTCTATATCGTTGTCTTCTAAATAGGTAAAATCTACTCGTGTTAACTCTACTGAGATATAATGCTTCCTGTATCCTCTTTTACACTTCATCTATTCGTAGCTCTTTCTCTTCCACCTCCTCCTCCTCCTCCTCCTCCTCTGACTCACCTTCCTCTTCTTCCTTCCACCCTTCCTTCTCCTTCTTCCATCCAGTTTCCATCTCATTCTCCTACCCTCAATGCTCCCCACCATACTTTTTTTTTTCATTTTCCCCTCCAGGCTATTGCCGGAGTCTCCTCGTTGGCTCATCCTTCATAACCAGCTCGCCAGAGCGTTGGAAGTTCTTCACTGGGCAGCCAAGGTGAACGACAAGAAACTACCTCCTGACCACCACCTCTTGAGTGTCATGGAGAAAATAGCAGCCAAGGTTGGTGCCCCTCACGAGTTATATACCCTCTCAAAGGCAGACGACCCTCTCGTAGGTAGGTGCCCCCCTCCGCTACCTAGTGTAACTGCCACGACCCTTCCAAGTGTAGAGATAACGTCTCTCTCAGTTGCCTCTGAAGTACCTCTGTACCTCTCCCGGCCATTTCCTGACACAACCAGGTAGTTTGGTAGGTCTGATGACTTATAAATGCAGGTAACGTCGACTGCAAATCACTTTTACACTACCATCAGGAATATTTTATTCCCTAATAGAGTGAAAATAAACTCTAAGTTCACAATAATATATATATATATATATATATATATATTATAAAATATATATATATATATATAATATATATATATATATATATATATATATATATATTATTATCACACTGGCCGATTCCCACCAAGGAAGGGTGGCCCGAAAAAGAAAAACTTTCACCATCATTCACTCCATCACTGTCTTGCCAGAAGGGTGCTTTACACTACAGTTTTTAAACTGCAACATTAACACCCCTCCTTCAGAGTGCAGGCACTGTACTTCCCATCTCCAGGACTCAAGTCCGGCCTGCCGGTTTCCCTGAACCCCTTCATAAATGTTACTTTGCTCACACTCCAACAGCACGTCAAGTATTAAAAACCATTTGTCTCCATTCACTCCTATCAAACACGCTCACGTATGCCTGCTGGAAGTCCAAGCCCCTCTCACACAAAACCTCCTTTACCCCCTTCCTCCAACCTTTCCTAGGCCGACCCCTACCCCGCCTTCCTTCCACTACAGACTGATACACTCTTGAAGTCACTCTGTTTCGCTCCATTCTCTCTACATGTCCGAACCACCTCAACAACCTTCCTCATCCCTCTGGACAACAGTTTTGGTAATCCTGCACCTCCTCCTAACTTCCAAACTACGAATTCTCTGCATTATATTCACACCACACAATGCCCTCATACATGACATCTCCACTGCCTCCAGCCTTCTCCTCGCTGCAACATTCATCACCCATGCTTCACACCCATATAAGAGCGTTGGTAAAACTATACTCTCATACATTCCCCTCTTTGCCTCCAAGGACAAAGTTCTTTGCCTCCACACACTCCTAAGTGCTCCACTCACCCTTTTCCCCTCATCAATTCTATGATTCACCTCATCTTTCATAGACCCATCCGCTGACACGTCCACTCCCAAATATCTGAATACATTCACCTCCTCCATACTCTCTCCCTCCAATCTGATATCCAATCTTTCATCACCTAATCTTTTTGTTATCCTCATAACCTTACTCTTTCCTGTATTCACTTTTAATTTTCTTCTTTTGCACACCCTACCAAATTCATCCACCAATCTCTGCAACTTCTCTTCAGAATCTACCAAGAGCACAGTGTCATCAGCAAAGAGCAACTGTGACAACTCCCACTTCATGTGTGATTCTTTATCTTTTAACGCCACGCCTCTTGCCAAGACCCTCGCATTTACTTCTCTTACAACCCCATCTATAAATATATTAAACAACCACGGTGACATCACACATCCTTGTCTAAGGCCTACTTTTACTGGGAAATAATTTCCCTCTTTCCTACATACTCTAACTTGAGCCTCACTATCCTCGTAAAAACTTTTCACTGCTTTCAGTAACCTACGTCCTACACCATACACTTGCAACATCTGCCACATTGCCCCCCTATCCACCCTGTCATACGCCTTTTCCAAATCCATAAATGCCACAAAGACCTCTTTAGCCCTTTTCTAAATACTGTTCACTTATATGTTTTCACTGTAAACACCTATATATATGCATATATATATATATATATATATATATATATATATAATATATATAAAATAATATATAATATATATATATATATATATATATATATATATATATATTTATATATATATATGCTTTCATACTGAAGATACTCTTATTGGTTACTACCCTAATACTACAATAATTACTAACCACACCTTCAGTATTCAATTCGGTAATAATATTGCTAAAAAATAAAGTAAACAATGTACTAGGTTGTATTTTACTCATCAGGAAGAAAGATAAGTGTCTAGCGACACTTATCTTTCTTCCTCATGTTAAATAATGACCTATCGACTGCATAGGCTTCCGCTAATCTACCCAAGGTAAGCTTCCATTAGCCATTAGTCTACCCAAGCTAGACTTCCACTAGCCTACCCAACGTATCCACTAGTTTACCCAAGCTAGGCTTCCCCTAAGTCTACCCCGGCTAGGTCTCATCCTCCATTCAAATACACAGAGGACCATCAATTAGTAGTGTTCCAAAATATATTACATATACTGTGCCATCAATCATATGTAGTAAAGGCGCGCATGTTATTTATTCCCTTCAAGAGAAGGTATATTAGTGATAAAATTCGTGGTTCCTTAATTTAGAGCTTGCAGGTATATTTATAAGCTGTAAAAATCATAGTTTGTGAATTCATTCATGATTTGTAAATACTGAGTTAGTGTAATATTTTGTTGACGTGCTTTGAAATCCCACAAGGAGAAGCAGCCCGAGATAAGAGGAGGACGTGTGCTGGACGTGCTGCTGCAGGAGCTGAAGCACATTGTGTCCCTCGTCAGGGTGAGGACTCTCAGAAGAAGAAGTTTGATCGTTTTTTTCTGCTGGTTGGCCGCATCCGTGGTCTACTACGGTGTTGCCTTAAACTCTACCAACCTCAGGTATGTCACTCTAATCATCCTCCTCCTTCCTAGTGATGGTTGAAGATTAAGACACATATGCAACAGCTGGGTATCTTTATTTAAGTTCAGCTCTATGGAGCTGAACTTTTCTCCAGGCTGAGGGACTGACCACCTCAAATACTTTTTCTCCAAGGTTGATGAACTAATCATCTTTATTTCATTACTACTGCTCGCTTAGTATTTGACTGAAGAAGCCTGCTGTGTAGGCGAAAACTTTCCATCAATAAAGATACCCAACTGTTGCACATGTCTTAATTCAACTTATCGGTATTTTATACCATTTTAAACTAGTACCGATTGCTAGTGTACCTTTCTGGCCACGCTGGTGTCAGCCACAGGTAAATCACTCTGGCTCGGCTGGTAATTAAAACTTAGTGTTACTGTATTATTCCACCGTGTCAGAAAATTCTAACAAGTTGTGAGGATGGCAAAATAAGCAAGACTATATCCAGTTGTATTTGATCTATCATCATCTGTACTGCAGTAGCCCGATAATCATCGTATCCTGTTTCATTAAGAGATTTCCTTATTATGTTTTCTTTTATTCTTTTGTTCTTCATCCAACCTTTCATTTTTTCCTCACAACTCGAGAGGCCTCATCCAGTCGTGTTCTGAGATTTTAACGCTTATGCACGGTCACTAAGGTTAGATTCTTGGAACAATTGACATATGCAGGTGCCCTCCGACCAAAGTTGTTGAGCCCATTCCCAGCATCCTGGAATGGCTCTTAAGCTGCAAAATCCTCAGTGGCGGAGCTTCAAACGTTCAGAAAAGATGCCTCGTAATTCGACGAGCTGGAGAGTGAAATTCAAGTATGTAGGTGCTGCTGATTTGACCATTTTATGAGTAAAATATTATTTAATATTTATTCCCATTAAATCACGTTCAATGTAATTCAGTTTACTTCTTCTGAACGGCTTCATTATTTAATGGGTGATACAGCTTAGAGACAGGATAGTAGTACTTAATAAGTTTTGTTTACGTCCAGACAAATTTGTTGATGTAGTAAAATAGTTAAAAAATATTGGACTCGCTGAAATACATGTCATTGCTGGATAATGACTCATTTGATCGGCTTCAAATTTTTACCATTGGTTGGGTTTCCTGACCGAAGGTTATTGGGTGTCGTAAGTTCCAATTTGCCCATTTTACTGGATAAATAATGTTATTCATTTATATGCAGTAACTAAAGAACGCTTCTTGTGATCGGCTTCAAACTATCAATAATGATGCATTCTGTAAGAATGATGAGGCGGTGAAAATTTGAAATTTGGCTGAAATTAAAAAAAAACTGGAATCATTTAAATTAAATCAATTACTGGTGAATACCTTTTTCTGATCGGCTTCAAACTTTTACCTTTGGTGAGCTTTATTAAAAGAAAACTTGGCGTTCACTTTGAGCTGTGTATGTGTGTAAATTTCATTTCGATTCTTATTAAGCTAATTTTTTCCCATGTAATAACTAGAGAATTCCTCTAATATTTTCGCGTGCACTGAGGTGGAGGGGGCTGGGGTTATGCAATACGGGATATGCCTTTCTCTGATCGCGCAGCATCCGAAATATATCTGGTTTTAGCTGTTTTCAGAAGTTTTATGCTCATACGATTCAAATTACATTTATAAGTTGTTTTTATTAAACTAAGAAGGTTATATATTACTTGTATTATCCAGACAACTCATAAAACTCAGGTGGCATCATCCTGGCACATAACAATCAGTGGCCTTGACTCAGAGCACCTGTGAATGCCTTACTCACTTGCACCTTGTGCCCCCAGTATCAACACCTACCTCTACATCTTCCTCGGGGGGCTGCTCGAGATGCCTTCATACATCCTGTTGTGGCCTGCCGTCGTCTTTTTGGGAAGAGTCAAATCCCTCTCTGTCCTCTACTGCACTACCGGCAGCACCATCCTTCTCATCTCTGTTGTCATCCTCTTCATTCCTGAGAGTAAGTGCTGTCTGTCGTGTCAATGAAAACAAGTGGTGCTATCTTTATAGCCTAAACTTACTCCCAGTTCAGTACATCCACACTTACTACTGTGCAATCTACATCAACAGGGCCTTAAACTCTAATATCAACCTTGACCTAAAACGCTTTCTTGATAGTTGTGACAGAACCCACAGGCATAACACCAGACACAAACATCTCTACGACATTCCCCGTGTCCGACTAAACCTTTACAAAAATTCAATGTATGTCAAAGGCCCTAAAATCTGGAATACCCTACCTGAGAACTCTAGAACTGCAGACACATTCATCACCTTCAAAACTACCATTAGAAAACATCTTATCTCCCTGATACACCCCGTCAACTAACTACACGAATACCACCTGGTGGTTCACACTTACACTCACTCACTCATTTGACCATAAACAGAAATATTAATCTCAATCTTAAAATAATGAATCCTGTGATACTCCAATACTGAAACTATGTACTGTGCCAAAACAAAAGCATTCACATTGCTAAACTCACAAACTAGTATTTAGCCACTTAGCCATAATACCAACTTACCTCATAATTTGTAATATTTTACAATTAAGAATAAAACTAAGTCTGCCCGAAATGCCTAGCCATGCTAAGCCTTCTAGTGGTACACTCTGTAATCACTATTTTACTACATGTAAACCACACAATAACCAAATTTCTGTAAACTCAGCATTGTAATCCTTATAGAGAATAAACTTTGAATTTGAATTTGAATTTGAATTTGAGGATAGGCAGTTCTATGATCCTGCAGCTCCTGACTGAGGGTGCGAGTACGGTGTAACTTTTGTTGGTAAACGTTATGTAGTTTCATCGTTCTCGTTGAGCAAAGTGTCACTGTCCCCTGTGTTTTGTCCTTGTGAGAAGATGACCTCTTCGACCTAGATGGTAGGGTAGGGAAAGGTTGCAGGTAATAGGATAATCCTACGGATTTAGCGCTCCCTCATTATAATAATAATGCAGGTAACAGTGTCTTTTGCAATAGTTAACGATTTTTGGTTAAAATACAGAGAATTATCTTATAGTGTGTACTGTGTAGCATATTTTCTTGCTGTATGAAAGACAGATTTAGTGCGTGTTTTTTAATAAAATAATAATAAGAGTATATTTACTTGCCCAAGAAACTGAGTATCAGACCGATTCTGTAAGTCCCAGTTCCGCAGCATGAGTGTTTTGTTTCTTATCTTCATAATTGATACCAAGATTCTGGAATGGTCTGACAAGACTTCCAACAACACAAGGTACGTACTTACAATATTCACCAGGTCAGTGTCCTGACACGGGTCTTAATCTTTCGATGTCCCGTCTAACAGTAGATACGTGGACTCCTGAGATATATAAACTGTGATAACCTAACCAACTTGAACCTAAATCAACAATGATTGTCTGCATCGCTCCCGGGCCGTGTAGACCCCCTTGCCTGACGCTCCTCAGTAACCTGACAGCAGTGGTACGAGGTGTTGTTGTGTCTCTGTTGACACCGCTGGAAAATTACTGGTGTTAAGATGGCGGTTTGTCATCGCAGACTCATTAATACTATTGGAATTGAACTGCTTCGAGGTGCGATTACACTTAGTTCAGCTCAGATACTCTTACCCAAGATAATTAGGGAGACATATGGCATTCAAGACGGCGAATTGTATGGGGTAGCGTTGAATGGAGCGCATAGAATATTTGTGAAACTGCTTGCTGCGACAGTATATGAATCTGGTTACGCGCTTTCAAGATGTGTGTTTTGACGTTACGCCTGCTGTGCGTGTGAGACTGGTGGACGTGTCTCGATATTATACCTGGATAAAGTTGAGGAATGTTCCCTTTGAGCCGAACGAAGCTGACATCAGAAACGTATTTGAGAAATATGGGACTGTGCATTCTGCCCAGCAGGGTAAGTGGCTGATGGGTGCCTACGAAGGTATGCCGGAAGGTACCTTCAGCCTTATGACGTTGCGGCAACCCATACCATCATACGTGTATCTTCAAGATTTTAGGACACAGGTAATGGTTTTATATCCTGGACAACGGCGTACGTGTCGCATTTGTGGAGAGTATGAACACATAGCGGCGGCATGCGAGAAGAACAGACGCGTGACCAAACCTGTGCAAGAAGAGGTAGCCCCAGTCACACGTGGTGAAGGTGAGCATCGATCATCAGAGGAAGGGCGTGGTCGTTTGTGGAGTGAGATGGTGGAACAGGCTTTTCGAAATGAGAGTGTGTCCTCCCCTCAGCTCCCTGCACCTGAGTCGTTGCCAATACCATCTGCTGGATTGGTACCCCGAAATGACGTGTTAAATATAGGGGAGGAATTGGACGAAGTTTTAAAGACCTTGTCACCACCTGTGGTGGAAGCTCCGTCTACGAATGACGTAGCTGGAGACTTTTTGAGTCCAGATTGTGAACAATATGAGACTCAGCGGAATGACGACGAGACTGAGACATCGGGGGACTTCATACCTCACTGTAAAGTGGATGTTGAGGTACACCGTGAGGCTTCCTCAGACCTTGACATGGAGGATAAGAACGTTACGAGGAAACGAGCAGCTACGTCAGATTCAGATGACGTACTGACGCCAGCACAGAGGACTGGGAAGAAAACTGAGAGGATGGGTGAGGGAAGGGATGGAGAGGGGGGAATCATATGGGACGCCATCGCCAGAAGGAAGGCGAATGGGAAGGTACTGTAAAGAAAACCCATAGAAATAACAATTCAGGTGGTGAAAAAAAGAGAGGAGAAGAGGCAAGGGTGGAAAATATAACAGGCCTTAGGTGTATGACTGCTAATGTTAACGGTTTATGTACTAGACTAAAGAGAGATTGGTTAAACAATTTTCTTAGCAAACATAGAGTTGATGTTATGTTCCTTCAAGAACACAATTTCAAAGAGGGGGAAGTGTTGCAGGTTATAAAGTACTGACCCTGCCAACTATCCGTTTGAAAGGTGGTGTGGGTCTTTTAATAAAAGAGACGAGCCCGTTTGTATTGCAGAGATGTGAGGGGGGTGGGGGGAGGGTGTTGCAGGGATGTGAGGGGGGTGGGGGGAGGGTGTTGCAAGGGGGGGGGGGGGGGGGGGGGGAGGGTGTTGAGAGTGGATGGAACTTGGATGGGAAAGCGTGTATCTTTAGTAAGTGTGTACGCCCCTGCGGAGAATAGCACGAAGGTAGGAAAGGATTTTGTGTGTGAGGACCTTGTTTATTTTTTGCGTGCACTTCCGGAAGTGGCGATAGTGGGGGGTGATTGGAACTGTGTCATCAGGGCGGCTGATGTCGAACCCAAAGGGGCTGGGCATATGTCTGCACCTCTCAGAGATTTGTTGAGGGATGTTAAGTTACGTGATGTGTTTGGGGGAGGGGTGTGGGAAACGGAACATACTTTTATCAGAAGGGGATATGCTGCAAGGTTAGACAGAGTGTATATTTCTCAAGGAGTAGTTGTGAAGTCTTTTAATACGGTCGAGACGGTCTTGTCAGATCATAGGGCAGTAGTAGTGGAGGTAGGGTGGGAGGGGATGGCGGAAATTTATCGGCCTTATTGGAAATTAAATATTAATATGTTAAGTGATGACGAAGGTTAGAGGGTTTTTCTATGCTGTGGAAAGAGCTTTCAAGGGAAGCTCAGGAGGTAGAAGACATTGTAACGTGGTGGGACTCGGTAGCAAAAGAAAGGATAAAAGCCTTTTACGTGAGGGAGGGTAAACGTATAAACACTCTAAAATATGGACTAGTGAATTATTTAGAGGATCGATTAAGAAGTTGTTATGGGCAGGGAATGGTTGGTGGTGTTTACCCCATGGACGAGATTGTAGACATAAAAGAGAGCTTGCAAACATTGCATAATGAGCGGTTTCAAGCAGTGCGGGTGCAAGCAGGATTAGAAGAAGTTTTGTGGGGAGACAAGCCATCCGCGTGTGTGTTGCGGCAGCAAAAGCAAAAGCAGGCACTGATGGCAATCCCGAGCTTAGAGGTACATGAGACGATGGGAATCCATAGAGCAGGTCAGGTGATAAGAAACTCGAAAGCCATGAGTGTATATGCGGATATGTGGTATAAAAAATACTGGACTAGTGGTGGCCTGGTGGCTAAAGCTCCTGCTTCACACACGGAGGGCCCGGGTTCGATTCCCGGCGGGTGGAAACATTTCGACACGTTTCCTTACACCTGTTGTCCTGTTCACCTAGCAGCAAATAGGTACCTGGGTGTTAGTCGACTGGTGTGGGTCGCATCCTGGGGGACAAGATTAAGGACCCCAATGGAAATAAGTTAGACAGTCCTCGATGACGCACTGACTTTCTTGGGTTATCCTGGGTGGCTAACCCTCCGGGGTTAAAAATCCGAACGAAATCTTATCTTATCTTATGTGGATGAAGTGGAATTAAATAGGGTGTGCACATATGCCAAGTGCAATTTGGGTCATAGTGATAGGAAGGCTTTGGGTGGGGATATTACTGAGGAGGAAATTGAAATTGCTTTACACGGAATGAGAAAGGGCAAAGCCCCGGGTATTGATAGTTTACCGGTGGAATTTTATTTACAGCATTGGGTGTTGATTGGGAAGTTCATGGTAAGATTATTAAATTTTATGAAGGAGAAGGGTACATTAGGGAATAAGCAGAATACAGCAGTTGTGGTGCTGGTACCGAAAGGCAAAGGGCAGCCAGACCTTGGGAAGTATAGGGCAATATCGTTGCTCTGTGCAGACTATAAGGTTTTTGCTAAAATTTTGGGTAATAGGGTAAAATGCGTGGTGGGGAGGGTTGTTTCACCATCGCAGTTTGGGTTGCCGGGCAGGTCGATGTTAGAAGGTCACGGGATTTTAAGAAGTTTTGTGGAGTCAAAGGGGGGTGGGGAGGGAGCGGCTTTACTGGCCTTAGACTGGCTAGCCGCCTATGATAGAGTGGAAAGAGGTGCACTGCAGAGTATACTTAGGAGACAGGGTTATGGTGAAGAAATAGTTGGGTGGGTAAATACGCTGTATAAGGGAGCAAAGATGAGAGTACAAATAAATGGGTGTATGGGGGCAGACTTTGAGATGGGTAGAGGTTTACGACAAGGGTGCCCTATGTCACAGATCATATTTGCGTGTTTTCAGGATCCCTTTTACAGGATGGTTGAGAGCACAGTCAATTCCCGGGGTGAGGGGGGGTAGGGGAGGGGAGATGTTGGCCGGCATTAATAGGTTATGTGGATGATACGACTGTTTTGGTGTGTGAACGGATGTCTATGAAAGTGTTGGAAGATGCTGTGCATGTGTTTGAACGAGCCACGGGTGTGAGGGTAAATAGTGATAAGTCAATGATCATGGGGTTGGGTACCTGGAAAGGGGGAGGAATGGCGAGCTGTAACGTGGTTAACACGACTGCGTTGTCATTAAAGATTTGTGGTATTATTTATAGAGACGATTTGGATGTGGCGCGAGAGGAAAATTCAGTAAGGACGTTGGAAAAGGTCATTGGTTGTCTGGGTGTTTTGAGGCCCCAACATCTCACTCTGGCCCAACGTGTGATCGTTGTTAACGTTTTATTGCATAGTAAGGTGTGGCACGTTGCGGCTGTATTCCCGATTACAGGGACAGCGATCAATGGAATATTGAGACGAGTATTTACCTTTTTGTGGGGATTGGTGTGATTTGTGTGATTGGTTAAAACGTGAGATTGTTATGTTACCTGTCCGTCGAGGAGGCTTGGGATTGTTGGACTTAAAGCGTAGGGTAAAATGTGTTTTTCTAAAGTGGGAGGTTTGGCGTGTGGGTGTGATGGCGGGAAATATGGAACAGGTATATATGAGATTGAAAAAGTGGTATGGGGGAATGGAATTGAGGGAATGTGAGATTGTACTACGGGCTTTGTTGATGGTAAGGGAACGGAAAAACATTCGCATACGGGTTTTAAGTAGGTTACTGGGGGGTACATGCGCAGCTCCAGTAGAAGGTTTGTTCCCCATGTACTCCTGAGAAAATATTTGGCTCAGATTTAGTAAGCTGAAATTACGGCCTAGGGTGCGTGAAGTCATGTTCCGTTTTTTACATGGTATATTGCCGTCAGGGGCAATATTACGATGCAGAAGAGTCGTGGAAGGTGGCGGGTGTGGGTTTTGTGGAGGTGAAGACACGGCTTTTCATGTTGTCTACTTTTGCGAAAGTTTAGAAGATGTCAGGGGTTGGTTAGGTTGGGTGGTACAGAGGGTGGGGGGAGAGGGGCGCAGGTCCTGCGCGCGTTAAGTCTCGACATTGGTGGATTAGACCAGGAAGTTAGATGAGCTTTAGATTATATTATCGTGGATTACATTTATATTTCGTGGGTAATGAGGGGGAAAGGGGTAAGTGAGGTGAGAAGGCGTGTCCTTGCAATAACGTTTTATCGTACAATGTGTAGAAATAGGGAATTGTATGGGATGAGGTGGGATAAGGGTTTTTCGGACGGTTATAAAAGGCTAACTATTGAAAGCCTTGTGAATCTGTGAATAAATATACGGGCATGCCGGTAAGTTTCCGTGTAGGTCAGTGGGCAATAGCTGGCTCGTCTCTTGGGGGGAGGTGTGAGTTGTTATGGATGCATGTTTGTTGATTCTGGAGTTAGGGTTACTTACTATACCTTTTGTGTACAAAATGACAGTGGTGCCTTTACAGTATTTATGTTTTTGAAGCTTTTCTTTTGTGTAAAGACTCGTTTTTTCTTGAGTCATAAGTTTTCTTAGTATTTTGTTTTTGATTGTGTTTTATAAGTCCAGATATTTGGGTATACAAACCTGCATATATATATTATATATATATTATATATATATATATATATATATATATATATATATATATATATATATATATATATATATATATATATGCATGTTTTATCCCTTCCCTGTTACTGTTCAATCTAGTCTGTGAGTCATCAAAGTATTTAAGGGATATAACACGTGTACATTACCCTGAGTCGTCCAAATTTATCCCATAAATATTTCGTAATGTTGTGATTTTTGTTTGTGATTCAAACGTAGTTCATAGGTATCAAGATTGAACACATATAGAATGGATGGAAATTGCTGACGATTAATATGATCGTCAATTTATATAATATTTATTATGTAATGAATTTGTGTCAGAGTAAATCATTGAATTTGTGTCTAAGTAGGAATTTCTATAAACAGTTGTATATTTTGTATGCAAATTACATAAACTATTGTTTAATCATTAATGTAACATGTTTGTATGATGTGCATGTAGCTTATAACAGGTTTAGTGAGGGTTTCCACCAGTGTTATATTTGTTGCGCAAACAGTTATATATTTTGGTATTGTGTGTGTTTCGTGAGGCGTACGTATGTGTTTTATGGTGTGTTTGTCGTATATATCTATTAGTATTAGTTACAAAGATTTTTTTCTGGTATTTATGGTGTGAATCTTTGTGTACTCTATAGAATATGTATGGTGATGCTATTTAATTTTTAAGCAGCCATGTATTTATGATGTTTTAAATAAAATATAAAAAAAAAATCAACAATACGAGTTGGTGACTGCTTCATCCAACCTTCCGACATCCTACATTCATATACAGTAAATTTTCCAATTCATTTTTATATTGTTGATACAAGCTCTGTCTGAAGACTGGAAGAAACGCTATGGGATTTCTCTTGTAAGATACACACCCTGTAACTAGAGTTTCGTCTTGCTAAGTTCTCTAACCATTGGTTTCACTGGCTTGATTGATCATTAAACTGACTCGACCGGCTTATTAAGTTGTTTATCGATTCAAAGTTAAATTTACAAACTTATTGACTGACCAGGCAATGAAACGCATCTTTCTAGTTCTAGTCCTCTTAGTGACTACCCATTAGACTACCTCAGTGACCAACTAACGGAAAAAGATTGTTTCTCTATTACCAGTTGATCTTTTCAAGCACGTAGCTCACCAAGTGACTCTTGTCATCCTCAAGCACCGTGGGTGGTGGTGATGCTGGTGTCGTTGATAGGAAAGACTGCCATCACTGCAGCCTACCAGCTCGTCTGGATGATGACAGCTGAGCTTTTCCCCACCAAGTACCGCTCTCTCGCACTCGGCCATGCCAGCTTCTTGGGCAAGACGGGGAGCATCCTCTCTCCATACATCAATGATATTCTGGTTAGTGTGCCCGGGTATTTTCCACTTACGTCAGTAATATTATCCGGAGAATATTATTAGCATTATTTTGAAGCGCAAACCCCTTAGGGATCATACAGGTAATCAGGTTGGATCTTAAGTAGGGAAAGGTAGAGCCAATTTCCTGGGTTGAAAACCCTCATACAATGCAAAGTGTGTGGACAGAGGCCGGGCCACATACTGGAGCATTATTACATGTAAGCCTTACAGGATATGGCGAAACACCTCATTGTTAATTACAAGATATATGGAATCTTGAGGTTGTAACCACATTTTGCATCGACCACATGAACGAACTCTTCATAGAGATTGCAACCTAGTTATGACCATTTTTTTTTTTTTTAGTGGTAATAAGAAATCAATTTTTTGAGATCGTATTCCTTACTGTACCGTATACAAAAACTATTTGAAGTAACTGTAAAATACGAAATGACTAATATTACTTTCTAGTGATGTAACAGTGCTCATTATAGTCTCACACAGACCCAGTGTGACCTGTAATCTCTTTTTTTTTTTTGACGCTACTGCTCATCCTCTGAGCAGAAGGGCAAAAACTAGCCACTCAGTCGGTACAACTAACACCAGAATATAGAACTATTTCCCCTTTCAGAGGGGTGCCTTAGGGCGGGAGGGGGTCGATCCCTGGCCTCATTGCCTCCATATTTATTTTGTGAATGGAGTCTGCATACACCATTGCTTCATCCAGGTCATTTAATTTTCCGACCTCTCAATGTGGCGATTGAGGAAAGTACTGATACAGTGATGCAAACACTCCCCCATGCAATGACGAGGAGATTCAAATTACATAACTCATAAGATATAGCTGAAGTAGGAGGTTCTCTACTACTAGACAAAATAATCGGACTGTGCTACAAGCAATTCTGACTTCTGGCATGAGATATGACAGATTTTGAAAAGAGGTTGCTTTTTATTTTGCCACTTCTTCTCGAAGAGCCACACTTCCCAATCACATTTCAAGTGCTTCTGGTATTAGATAGTTTGGTAGTTTAGTGACGAGTGGTTCAACGTGTGCAAGGCTCTGCTCTCAACATATTTAACTTGTATGCTCCTGCTGATAAATTTAATTACTTGGAGCTCCCAACTTGTGCTCATTCTGAGCCTACTCTTATTATTGGCGATTACAATGCGAGACACAAAAGCATTGGAAACTCACAGTTTGGTAATCGTAATGGTAATCAACTGTTGTCACTCTTAAACAGTCATGATAATGTCCAAATTGTAGGTGACCTTGAACCCACACATATCTATGGAGGCGTCCTTGATCTGTGCCTGGGCTTCAACATTACTTCTGCCAGCTGTGAGTCTTCCATTGTAACAGATATAGCGTCTGATCATTTCCCTAGGCTAACCTCACTAGATATTGGTAATACTATCCTTCCTGGTGGGATATTCAAACGGAAACGTTTTAATGTTCCCACAGATCAGCATGATGACGTTGTTGCACATGTGACTGACTGGTATAATTCCTATGAGTGTTCCTCTGTAGAGACCTTTAACAATGATCTTGTGAGCAGTATTCAGAACTACTTAGAGCCGCCACTGCAACCTCTTGGTACTCTAAACCCAACAAACTTCCATAATAATCATACCTCCTTCAAAAACCATACTTATTACAATGATTCTAAACTTCGTACACTGAAACGTACTGCTCGCAGACTAGGCCTAGCCTATAGAAAACATCGTACCCCTGGAATGCTGAGGCCTTCCAAACTGCCCTTGCTGCTGCAGAGAGCGTATGACAGAGCTCGGCAAACAGACTGGGAAAATTTTGTCAACGGTCTTAATGCTCACACCCCACTTACCCGGGGCAGGGAGGGACTTTAAAATAGAATTAACGGTAACAGAACTGGGCAGATCGCGCACACCTCATCCCTCACAAGGCACAGTACTCGCTCCCATCTTGTTCCTCATCCTCATATCCGACATAGACAAGGATTCACCACAGCACCGGTCTTCCTTTGCAGATGACACCCGAATCTGCACGACAGTGTCTTCCATTGCAGACACTGCAAGGCTCCAGGCGGACATCAACCAACTTTCAGTGGGCTGCCCGAAAACAATATGAAGTTCAACGAGAGAAATTCAATTACTCAGAATATGGTAAACAGAGGAAATTAAATCTTCATCAGAGTACAAAACAAATTCTGGCCACAAAATAGAGCGAAACACCAACGTCAAAGACCTGGGAGTGATCATGTCGGAGGATCTCACCTTCAAAGGGCCATAAACATTGTATCAATCGCATCTGCTAGAAAAATGACAGGATGGATAATGAGAACCTTCAAAACTAGGGAAGCCAAGCCCATGACACTCTTCAGGTCACTTGTTCTATCTAGGCTGGAATATTGCTGCACACTAACAGCACCTTTCAAGGCAGGTGAAATTGCTGACCTAGAAAATGTACAGAGAACTTTCACGGCGCGCATAACGGAGATAAAACACCTCAATTACGGGGCGTTTGGGGTTCCCAAAACCCTGTTTTCCCCTGGAACGCAGGGGGAGAGATAATGTTATATCACCTGGAAAATCCAGAGGGACTAGTACCGAACTTGCACACGAAAATCACTCCTACGAAAGCAAAAGATTGGCAGACGATGCACCATCCCCCCAATAAAAGCAGGGGTGTCACTAGCCGTTAAGAGACCATACAATAAGTGTCGGGGGGCCCGGACGTTCAACTGCCTCCAGACACAAAAGGGGGGTTTCCCAAACAACCCCTGGCAGTCTCAAGCTGGACTGGACAAGCACCTAAAGTCATTTCCTGATCAGCGGGGGCTGTGGTCTTACGTTGGTTTGGTGAGCCAGCAGCAACAGCCTGGTTGATCAGGCTCTGATCCACCGGAGGTGGTCACAACCGGCCGGGGGGGCTTGGCCCCCGGAAACCCTCCAGGTAACTCCAGGTAAAATAGGGCGAATGAGTTATCATGTTTGGGGCTGCTACTCTAGCTATGAAAATCTTCCCGTCCCACACGGGAAAAATTTAAAATGACAAATATGATGCAAGGGAGAGACTTTTTTGCTTTATGCTCGCAAGGAAAATATTGCAACTTTCCTTTTCACTAATTATAACTTAAATGCAGCACTCTAAGGGAACTCCACGTCCCCGGGTGAGGTGGTATTACTTACAACAACTCAGATTCTTTTTCGAGCCCAGGTAATCCATTCTTGAATTAAATAAACTGAGCTATGAACGGGGGAGCTCCCTAAATCTTGGACCAACGCCTCATCTTTCCAAATTTCCAAGCCAATCAAAAAAATGCTTTTCGCCCAAAAATTCTTACTAGCTGCTTGTTTTAAAACTTTGAGAGAATGTTTTTTCGCTCATTACAGAATAAAAACTTTTTTTGGGAAGGGTTTTATGCATGGAAGGGCGTCCCTCATTGAAATAGCCACCTTTCTCACTCTGCACATGACAGTCATACACTCCCTTTTTCCTTGCCCTTTAAACCGCTTTCGATGTAGCCAACCGACATGAATAATTATGAACTTGCCAATGGATGTTGGGGGGATGGCTTCTCCGCTGGTTAAAGGCTACCTGTCAAACAGAAAATCGTTTGTGTTGTTCCGGGGACATAAAATGAACAAAAAAGCTTTGAATTGGGAAACCCCCACAGGGGGGTGTGCTAGCCCCACATGTCAATATTCTAATTAATGCTTATTTAAATGTTTTCCCTAGTCACCCCATCTTATGTGATTATTTTTGCTGATGATATAATGATTACACCACCGGATTCCTCCAACACCCAAAACATTGGAGGCCGGGGTGATAATCTCTACTGATAAAACAAAGTATCAATAGGCGCCTCCTCGACAGAGAGGCACAGTTCGTAGACCCTTTGCATGGGGGTCTCTCTAAAATAGAAACAATACAGGTATCTAGGTTTTGAGTTCCCTACTTGGACCTGTTGTAACAAACGTTGTCCCCAATACAAAAAAAAGACTAAGACCTTGATTGTGGCGGGGTTTCACCCCGGGTATGGTGCAATGTTAAAATTTGGAAAATGATGTTTTTGCTTATTTTAGATCATTGGTTGATTATGCTGCGCCACATTGCTCTTGTGTTGACGGGAAGCTTGGAGGGCGGGAAAAAACGCAAAAAAGAAGCAATGAGGTTTTTTAGGATGCCCCGTACTCCCAAAAATTTTAAAATAGCAAAAAGAACTTGATTTTCCCAAGATCAGAGATGTTTCTGAAAAAAATATCCTAATTGGGGTTAATATCCGGCAAGCTCATTAAAAACCCCTGACAAAGCCTCCAAACTTTCCTCAGCATTGGTGAACATCCCCAGATGGATCAAAAAAGGGAAACCCGACCCCGCATAAAATCAATACTATCATTAAAGAAGAACAGCGGGACTTTCCGCTCCTGGAATATTACCCCATTCCAAATACCATTCCCCCATTTTCCCCCCCCCAAAATACTTTTAAACACAACCAAAACTTGCCTTGAAGCCAAACATGAGGCCCCTTTTAAACTGTATTGAAACTTAGTCACACACACACATCTCGCAAAATTTTTACGTGATGGTTCTGTTCACCAATCCCCGGTGCAGCTGGTAGGGCTGTTGTCGTACAGAGTGATGGCTCTCTTAAAGAAATTGGGCACGATCAATTTTAAAATTGGGCCCCTACCCTCAGACAGAACTGTTTGCCATACTCCCTTTCACTGAAAAGCATCTATGTATCAAAGAATGACAGTTTAATTGTAAATGATTTCTCTGTCATCCATAATTTCTCAAATCATTAAGCTAAAATTTTTGGCATCTTGTGTCAAAGCCGCACAGGTTGGTAGATTGTGGACAGGAGTCAAGTGCACTGCGTGGGGTTCCATCTCACATTGGGCTTCAGATGCTGATAAACTGATAAAAATTGGGAAGCTGTATCTTTCCCAAAGAGGGAGTAGATTACAATCTTGGCTGTCAGGTAGTAGTTTGAGAACAAAATCGAAAAGAACTTAACTGA